ACGAGCATGATTCTGGACTAGCTTCAGGGCGTCCTTCCGAGTATGCAGACTTCTCGGGAAGGAAGATTTGTGATCGTGAAGAATACAGTGGTGCCAGACCTAAAGTTAGATTCTCAACAGCAGAAGTAGAGCTGAGAGAAGAAGGAAATTCAGAGTCTATAGTGAGAAACTCAAGTGTAAGGAGTAGAACAAATAATGAAGATGAATTGCCAAACGTGGAAGAAAATGAGACCCCATATGAACTGAGAAGAGGTGTAGACGGCATAACAATGAGACGAAATCGTTTACGTGAGACGACGAGAACATCTGATAAAGCAGAAACGGAATTTAACTCAACAGAAAAAGCACCAATGAGTACATTTATTAAACCAGCTACGTTCGATGGAAGCGGATCATGGCTAGATTACAAATCTCATTTTGAGGCTTGCTCAGAATTAAACAAGTGGATAAACAAACAGAAAGGTCTTTACCTTGCAGTTTCGTTAAGAGGTCAAGCACAAGGTATACTGGGTAATTTGAGCGGTGATGCTACTCACGAGTACTTAGTCCTAGTTAAAGCACTAGAGGAAAGATTTCTTCCAGCAAACCAAATGGAATTGTACAGAGTACAATTGAGAGAAAAACGTCAAAAAGCCACAGAAACATTACCTGAACTTGGACAAGCAATCCGAAGATTCACAAACTTAGCTTATCCTTCAGCTGGTAATGACTTACAAGAAACGTTGGCAAAAGAGCAATTTATTGATGCCCTGGTTGACTCAGACATGAGAATACGAATAAAACAAAGTCGTCCAAAGACCTTGAATGAAGCAATCAGTCTTGCCGTTGAACTCGAAGCTTATGTTAAATCTGACCGGCGCAATCAAGAGACAAAGAATTTTGCTCGCCCAGTGTCTAGCAACGACTCAAAAGGATCGGATTTTGAGTCGAGAATGGCCTCGATAGAAAAGACAATGGAGTCTATGCTTCGTGAGCTTACTCAACTAAAAAGAAACAGATTTGTTGCTCATGAGAAGAGAAAGGATTATGAGAAGAATTCGACCATTCAGAAACCCAAATGTCCTATGTCTCAACGGACCTGTTATAGGTGTGGAAAACGTGGTCACATAAGTCTTTATTGTAAGAAACCAAAAACCAGTCAAGACAACAGAAGAAACAGAGGGACAGACTCAAAAGATGCAAGACCTAAGGACTCAGAAAAAGGTAACAGTAATTTCTCATCTTTGAGCACTGGAGAAGAAAAGTCTGTCCAGAATAAGGTTGGAATTAGTCGTCACAGGAACGAGGCAGGAATGTTCATTAAGGCAGTAGTGAACCAGCGTACAATCAATCTACTGGTGGATACTGGAGCAACAATAAGCATCCTTGCGTCCTATGTTTATGAAGAGTTAAAATCGTCCCTTAATTTAACAGATCACGCAAATGACGTCTTGTGTGCAAGCGGATCAAAACTTAAAGTTGAAGGTAAAACAACTGTCTCAATTACCTTCGACAATTGTGATGTCTACACACAGCAAATGACAGTAGCTGATCTGCAAGTGGATGGTGTTTTAGGTTTAGACTTCATGAAAACCCATTCCTGTGTTATTGACGTACATAATGGGAAACTGAGAATCGGTGAGAAATCCTACTCATTATTCTTGGAAGGAAAAATTGGTTATTACCGGATAGCAGTTACAGAACATCTGAACTTACCCCCTCGAACTGAGACAGTCACAGTTGGTCATGTGTGTCTCACCAGCGATGAGTGTTTACCTGAAAAGACCCACATAATTGAGCCGTCCGGAAAGTTTAAAGGCGAAGATCAAATGTTGCTTGGACGAACACTTACTCATGGAACTAAAGAGGTACCCATACGAGTACTCAATCTATCCGATGATGTAAAGCACATCTATCCTGGTACCATAGTTGGAACGATGACTCCAATAGACAAAGTAATGAGTGCTCAGACGACTGAGAGACAACAGGAGAAATTACCATCATTCTTAAAAGATTTGTATGACAGGACAGTCAATAATTTGACCAGTGAACAAGCGGTCCGGGTTAAGGAATTTCTACTCAAACATGCAAGCGTTTTTGCATCTTCAGAAAGAGATCTCGGACGAACCAATGTCGTAAAGCACAAGATCGATACTGGAAATGCAGCTCCTATAAAGCAGCCCTTGAGACGAGTACCTGTCCATTGGCAAGAAGAGGTCGATAGACAGATTAACGACATGCTAGAGAGAAATGTGATTCAGCCAAGTGCTAGTCCCTGGTCTTCGGGAATAGTCTTAGCAAAGAAGAAAGATGGCACAATGAGGTTTTGTGTCGACTATCGACAACTCAATGCTGTGACAGTAAAGGATGCATATCCACTGCCACGCATTGATGAGTCGTTAGACTACCTAGCTGATTCTCTTTGGTTCAGTACCCTAGATTTAAGTTCTGGGTACTGGCAAGTTGAGTTGGACCCGAAAGACAAACCAAAGACAGCTTTTTCAACAAAGAGAGGTCTTTATGAGTTCCAAGTTATGCCATTTGGTCTCCGTAACGCACCAGCAACGTTTGAGAGACTAATGGAAACAGTGCTGGCAGGTCTACAATGGCAGATATGTTTGATTTACTTAGACGACATAATTGTCATTGGTAAATCATTTGAAAACATGCTAGAAAATTTAAGCAAAATATTTGAGAAGTTGGAAGGAGCAGGTTTAAAACTCAAAGCCAAGAAATGTTCGTTATTTGCAAGAGAAGTAGAATACCTTGGACATGTCATCTCAAGAAAAGGTGTATCCACAGATCCATTGAAAGTTAAAGCAATTAAGGATTGGCCTGTGCCTACCACAGCAACTGAAGTTAGGTCATTCCTAGGACTTTGTGGTTACTATCGGAGATTCATTGAGAAGTATGCAGAGAAGGCAAAACCACTTACTCACCTGACTGAGAAACAGCATGGTTTTGTTTGGAATGAAGATTGCCAGGTAGCGTTTGAGAAACTGAAACAGTCCTTGATGAACGCACCCATCTTGGTTTATCCAGATTTCTCAAAGCCCTTCATACTTGATACTGACGCGAGTAACGATGCTATCGGAGCGGTTTTATCTCAGAAGAATGAGAGTGGTGAGCACGTTATCGCTTATGCAAGTAGAACATTGTCTAAAACAGAAAGAAAATACTGTGTCACTCGCAAAGAGTTACTTGCAGTTGTTTACTTCGTAAAGTATTTTAGACATTATCTACTTGGAAGAAAGTTTACAATTAGGACCGATCACAGCTCACTGAAATGGCTGATGCGGTTTAAAAATCCAGAAGGCCAGTTAGCTCGATGGATCGATGTCTTATCAGCATATGACATGGACATTGAGCACAGACCTGGAAAGCTTCACCAAAATGCAGACGCAATGAGTCGCATACCATGTCACCAGTGTGGATATCTAGAAATTGAAGAAGATAAGGTGGTTGTGATGACAGCGACAGAAGCGGAGGACAAGGAACAGAATTTGTCAAGCTCTGAGCTGCGAACACTGCAAGATGAAGATTCTGATATTGTTATGGTTAAGCAGTGGTTGACTAAAGGTGTGAGACCTAAGAACAAAGATATAGCTGGTGAGAGTCTATTTGTGAAGTCATTACTCACACAGTACGACAGATTAGTCTGCGAAGACAACATCCTATTCAGGAAGTGGGAAGACTTTGAGCTGAAAACTACAAAACTCCAAGCTATTATTCCGATGAGTTTGCGACGAACGGTTCTCAAGTTTTGTCACGATAATCGTACCTCGGCACATTTAGGTGTGAGAAAAACCATAAGTAAAATACGTCAGTCTTACTATTGGCCCGGCTTACAACGAGACACAAGGTTATACATAGCTGGATGTGAGCAATGCAGCAAAAGAAAAGGACCAAACAGAACTAAACGTGCTCCAATGCAGTTAGTTGAAACAGGTCGACCAATGGAGAGAATAGCCACTGACATATTAGGTGAGTTGCCAGAGACAACAAACGGTAATAGATATATACTCGTTGTATCAGATTACTACACGAAATGGACCGAGAGTTATCCAATGCCCAATATGGAAGCTCGCACTGTTGCAAAACTCATTGTCGAAGAATTCATAGCAAGATTTGGCGTACCATACTCAATCCATTCTGATCAGGGTCGGCAATTCGAGAGTTTGTTATTTAATGAGATGTGTAACTTACTACAGATTGAGAAAACTCACACAACACCGTATCATCCTCAGTCTGATGGCATGGTTGAGCGGTTCAACCGAACGTTGTTAAACATGCTGAGTGCATATGTGAATGAGAGACATACAGACTGGGATGAGCAGCTTCCATACGTGATGATGGCGTATCGCTCATCAGAACATGAGACAACAGGATATTCCCCGAATTTCTTGATGCTAGGGAGAGAGACAGCAACTCCTCTTGATATCATGTACCAAAAGCCATCTCATATTGATAAAATACCACAATCAAGATGGGCTTGGGAACTCAAAGATCGTTTAGAAGAGGCGCATAAAGTTGTTCGAGAACACACAAATGCTGAAATGCTCAGACAGAAACGTTATCACGATAGAAAACTCAACTGGGAAGATTACAAAGTCGGTGACCTTGTTTATGTGTATTTCCCTAGACATAAAAGTGGTCTATCGCCAAAGCTAACCAGCTATTGGCATGGCCCATTCAAAGTACTGGCCAAATGTTCCGATATAAATTATAAAGTAAATTGCGGACCAAGAGGAATATCTCAAGTAATTCATGTAGATCGTATGAGACCTGTACAATCTCAATTGATCTCGGGCGAAAAAGAAAATTTACCAGAAGTTTATTCAGATAGTGTACAAAACGAGTCAGATAGTAATGTACAAAATGAGTCAGATAACTCATCTCAATTTGAGCATAATGTCAGACCAAAACGTACAAAGCAATTACCAACGTGGTTAGCTGATTATGACACTAAATGGTACTAGAGCATTTAAAGTCAATAGTTTTTCTCTTTGCAGAATTCCATCATGGTTAATACCAAAACAACCCCCAGAAAACAACCTGAAAATTGTCCGATGTGTACATTTTCCACATCAAGTCGTGAAGCACTGTTTAATCATGTTCTAGAGTGTGGAAAGAAACAGCAAGAAAAACAGTTTAAGTGTGATAAGTGTCCCTATGTTTCACTGAGAAAAGCGAACTTGAACAGACACAAGAAGTGTAAGCATCCAAGTGAGAAAACTGAGCAAAATGAGAAGAGTGTAGCAGCTATGGCTAGACTTCGTGATGAATTACAGATCTCGAGTGACTCAAGTCCTAATAACAGTGATGTAGAAGAACAGAACATTAGCAACGTTATACCTGACAATAGTTTAGTTAACTACTATGAAGAACCTGATGAGTCTTCAGCTCGTAGAGATCCAGTGATTGAGAAAGAACAGGAGATGCAGGATTCGCTAATCCTTGGAAGGGTCGTGAGAAAAAGAACTATGCCCGAAATATTCATTCCTGCAAAGAAATCCAAGTTATCAACTGGAGGTACAAAGACAACGCTTGGTTCCGACGTGAGAAGAAGCTCAATACCTGAACCTCAAGTTGATGTGTTTGTACCAACTATTTCTGCACCTTCTCACGAACAGTCTGTGAACAGTAAAAATAAGACAATGAAGGACATTGCAGTACAGACAGTACCAACTAAGTACAGTAGAGTTGAAAAGACTGTTACAACTAAAACGGATGATGGTTCAGTTAGAGTCAGTCGTGTAGTAGAGGAGGAAATTGTGATTAAACTGTAATAGAAACAGTAATTTTTCACTTAAGGGTAAAGATAATACTCACATTTGTTTCTGAGTTAACTATTGTACATTTTTTCTCATTTGATTTACTCACTGGTATAGAGAGTTTTCCTTTGAGTAGTATTGTATATTATTGTACATTGATATGTGATAAAAACTTCTGACATAATTGAGATATTTTGAGATAAATACCAAAATTTGTTTTTGAGTTAGAATTAGTATTAAGAGTTTCATTAAGTAGCTTAATAGATATTATTAGAATTTAGAAATGCGGGACGCATTCCTCTTTGGAGGGGGTAGTGTAATGTAAATGATGTTACTAAGTTTGAATTTGGCGCCCTTAGTTGACAAGTTACGTTGACTTCCGCTCTGAGGGTATATAAACGCCATACCACTAGCGTCAGCACATTCAGTGTTAGTTTGACCTCAGAAGAGGAAAGCTGTGTGCAGAGGTTTATATTTATAGGTAAGCCGACAGTTTCCCATAAGAGAACGTGGATCAAGTATCCTTACTCTCGCGGGGACAGCTCGACTAGTCCTCAGTGGACATAGTGTCTTTTAGTGTGTATAAATAAAAGTGCTGAGTAGCTGAGTACTCATCTGTTGAGAACTCATTTTAAGTCATATAGTTTTGTATATAGGTTTGTAAATCTTAGTTAATATTTTTGAAAGTGATTTTATTAGTGATTAGTTAGTTAAGTAATTAAGGGTAATCATTTTTTTTATTTTAACGAGAGGAACTCGTTTCGCCTTATTTTCTATATTTTGCAGGCGATTATTTTTGTACATACGTTCGCCGTATCTGTATATTTTGGCAGGCGATCTATTTGATATTTTAAGTTTGTATTATTTTTGAGTCTCGGTCTCAGTTTAGTAACTGAGGGATCCATCAGAAGAGAACACGTTACAACACCACTCCCTCACACAATACTACAACCATTGGCACCACTCGTTCACAGACCGTCACTAATAGGTCCCACAAACACGCATTCCCTACCTACATTGAAACCAGTACCTCACATAGCACCGCAACTGACCCAATTCTGACCACCGATGGTAAAAGTATTTACTCTTATGGTAATTATTTTTTCATTTTTTAGTTATCCCCATATTTATTCTTTCATGCTTTTGCAGTCACAAATGTAAGAAAAAAAAATAGGAATCAACTTGTGTTATCTCCATTAAATTATGAGGATCTTGTGAATGATGATAGTGATGAGGAATTTAACGAGAATAATCCACACAAGACACATGATAATATTGAAATGACTACTTTAAAAACTTAAAGATTTTTGTTTACTGACAGTGATCGCTTTTAGCCATTTAACCTCTTACAACAAATTTTGCATGTTTAGATAGCAATGTATTCTATTAAATAAATGTATATATATCTTTCTCTTTCTTGCCTTTTTCCCCTCTTCATTATTATGCATGTACATTAATTTAAAACACAGGCGTGGCCCAAGAAATTTTTCCCAGGCGGGGGGGGGGGATTTTTCCCGGGGGGGGGGGGGGGGCCTAGATCTGTGCATGAAGCATGTTACATTAATACTAATAAAGTAAGTATCAAATATCTTATTTTTAAATCCTCTAATGATTTAATAAATGATTTGATACTTTTAAAATACTTTGCATTAATAGATCATTTGTTTATCATTCTCAGTGCGTGATGCCTTCGGAATGGCCATAGCTTCCTTAATCCTCATGGCCTTAGGATTTCTGGTATGGTTATGCAGAATACTCCTGCGAAAGTTTCAGCTGACGTGGCAGATACCGTTCCGTTCCTCGAACCCCAGGGTTGAGAGGAGCCGTCCACGCAGCAGAAGGCGTCCAGACTTGGACCTAGAGTTAAGCGCCTGCGGGGGAGTTGAGGAAGAGTTGGTTGAGGGCTACAACCTCAGAAGCGCAAAGAAATAAAATGGTATTTCGTATGTTATGCTAAGACTGCATTTTATACATACTGAATTAATACATATGTAGTTTTGTTATGTAATTTAACGTTTGAAATATATTTTTTAATACTTTAGGTTCCTGATGAGGTTTAGGTTCCTGGGCTGCAGAAGTACTGCCCCCCTCCTCTAACAACACAATATTGCAGGGAGCAAATGTGTACAGACTTTAAAGGAGTAATGATGAGCGAGTAACTTGCAGGAAGCAAGATTATTGACATTTTTAAAAAAAGATATTAGTTCTTGTCAATTTGACTTAAATGTTTTATGTTAAAAAAATATAAATCAAGGGAGCATGAGCAAGTGATTTGTAAGAAGTAAGGTTATTCACATTTAAAAAAAGATGATGTTATTTCTTGTAAATTTTGCTTTTAAAAGATATAAATGCTTAGATAAATCATTTAAATATTTTCCAGCTTCGTAGTTTCATTCAGTTGTCGGTCAGAGGCGCATTGCAGATCGCCAAAAATTGACTGTTAACTTGATGACAGAGTTTACCGAAAAGTGAAATATCATTAAGATATTTTCTGCTAGCGTAAACAAATACATTTAGGGAGCAGAACACAGAAAACACAACAGTCTTACTTGTCCGCTACTTTACAGATACATTTGTGTATTCAGTGTAAATTTTAAAAGACTGAAAAGAAATCTGTGTTCTCTCTCTGTATAGGAGTAGTAAAAATTATTTCGAATGATTATTTGTTATATCCTTCATCTGTGTTATTAATTGCAAGCCTTTTCACAATCAAAATTCAAAGGTTTTTAAAATGAAACAAAAACAGCTGCACAAGTTTACGTGACCTGAGTTAATGTAGGTCATTAAATTCATAGATGATGCGCAATTTAAGGGTACTGAAGTATAAAGTCTGTCAGAGTCATACGATTCGTCCTTTTTACATTAAGAATTGACATTTTTTAAATCACTATTTTAAAACGACCTTTCATGCACCTTGGGTTTATTATTGTTTTGTAACTAACGTTTTTACGGAGAATGTCTCTTATTTTGAAATACCTGTTGTGTACTACCAGTGTAAAATATAGGTTAAACCCCCATTCATTTAAACCACCAGTGATGATAATGGATTCGCGAGTGTTATATGACATGATCATTTGTTATGTTCTCGTTTATACTTCGATGTAACCTGAGTTAATGTGTACTCGCAAAGTAATTTCGAATCTAGATTAAATACAATATGAGGGTACTGAACTATACGTCATTGGAGTAACCTCTCCATTGTACCTCATTCATACTTATAAATTCGGTCACCGTCACGGTTACCTTTATCGTCCTTGTGTTGTTCATCATAATAGATTCACCCTCTTCGCTATAAAGTTTCTAACAATAGATCCACTATCCCCCCTCCCCACTGTATGACGTTACGTCATGCATTGTTTACCTCTCGTATGTATGAAATTAGGTCATACATGTCTCCTTTGTTTTCTTATTAAAATAGATTCCATTATTCTCTATTGTCCTCTGACAACAATAGATTCTATTGTTAACCCCCGGTGTATAGCCGTCCTTACTACTCCGGTATACAATGAACACAAGAGATGATGGAGACCGAATAACATAATTTGATTACCATAATCGTGAGGGATAATAACTCCTTTTAACCGTATTTTGTGAAGAAAACATGTAGGAAGGGAAGAAATCCGGAAAGAAAACTTAGCAGGAGTTAGTCAAGGTGGGAAGGGAAAGGGGTTGTGGATAGGGTAGTCGCCGTTCCCAACATAGACAACACAATATGTGATTTGGTATTATTCACTGTAATCTTTTAATAAACTCGGAAGTTATATATATTTACATCGCAAAAGAGCTTTGTATTTTGTCTTAGTGTTAAAGTAAACGGTCGACAGTAAAAGTCGTCGCTTCTCGCAAAAGTCCATTTGAATTTCAGGCCAATTGACCTTCTGAGCCTGTTTCTGAAATCTGGTAACATACTGCTCAGCGGATTCATCTGGCAGTTGTTGTATTTTAAACAATGAAATATCACATGCATTGTTTTGCACTCTTAATCTGTTTAAAAATGCTGTCTCTACATCTTCAAACCCTCTATTGTTAATTCTAGCATCTAGATTGTCATATCGAAGTGAAGCGGCGCCTGGCAAATGTAATGGAAACCCAGCCGCTAGTCTTTCGTCATTTAAATCATAAAGACAGAATACTGGCGATGTTTTTGCCAGCCAGGCGACAGTCTCTTCTTCGCCACCTCCAAACTTTTCAAGGGAAGATGAAGCCATTACCTCTTCTTCAATCATGTCGAAGTCCTCCTCGTCGTCCAAGAACGTTGTCCTTAGGTAATAGTTATGCGGTCTTGGCATGTGACTCAGGGTTGGTGAGAGGAGCCGGATCTTTGTATCCACCACGTATTAAGGCGCACTCATCAGGTATGGGGAATAGCTCTGGTATGTGCCAGCAACACCTATTTCCTTGGCCCTTTGGATGATTCCTTTTTGACCCTTAAAATATGACAAGGATGAAGTTTAATAGTGTTTATTGTCTCGTGTCCCTAGCGTAAGTGACGGGGGGAGACGGGAGAACAAACTAAAACCTCCAACCTGTCCTTTGAGAGGACACTCAAGAGGGATAACTATATTAAATTAGTATTGTCAATAATAGAATTTAACCAATTTCCCTTACGGAGCCTCGCAAGGATAACTCCCTTATTACCAAGAGTTGATTTAACTTGCCGAAAAGTTTCTCATTTTTTCCGCTCGCTCCGTGTTAGGGAGGTCGTGGGTTCGAATCTCGGCCGCGACTGACCTAAGTCGATAAAAAATAAGTAGCAACTTTTCCTTCGCCATGTGCTCGGCACTTTGAAGTGAAAGTTGTCAGTCCTTGGATGAGACCTTAAAAACCGAGGCCTCGTGTCACGGTAGACGTTGGCACGATAAAGATCCCTCACTGCTAAATAGCCCAAAGTGCAGAGTAAAGGTCAAAATTTGAAGCCCTTCACCGGTATATGGTGACGTCTCTATATGAGTTAAAAATTCTCGAAATGGACGTTAAACAACATACAATCAATCAATCAATCTCACTTTTTCTAG